TCTTCAAATTATGAATAACTCTACCTTGATTATTCAATGTGATCAGAAAAAAATACTAATTTCAAGAGCAGTTAATGGTTGATTACACCAGTTTACGTGAGTGTTTTGATGAGTAGTGAATAATTGGTCATGAAAATGAGACCATGATGCAAACCGGAAAACCCTCACCAGCCAATCAGCAGTCAGAATGATTGTTTTCTCAAGATGTCAGATGATGCATGATGTAGGTAGTTTTCCTGGTAAATAGTTAATCTGTAGCTTGCTGTATAAATATACAAGAAATATCAAAGAATAAATCACTTACATTTTTGTACAAAGATAGATTCTGTCTCACAATGCCTCAAGAAAAGCAAAAACGTAAACATCTCACCTCACCTTTGCGTGCTAAAAATGAACAACAAAATGCTTCTCGATATCATATCTGAACTCGTACTTTCAAAGTAACCCTGTTAAATGTGCAAAGCAAAGATGGACGATTTTTTCAGAAATAAGTATGGTGTCACTTTGTCATCTATGAAATAAAAATGTGATACATGTATGTTTTATGAAATAGAGATGAGATGTTTTGTGAAATAAATGTGATTGATGAATAAATTATTTTACCTAAAACAAAACAATTTTAAGTTATCTTTATTGAGCTGTTATCCATCATAACTGTTATTATACTAACTTACTACATTACGTGATTACCTATACAGTATATAAACCATTATGCTCAAGCCTTAGCAATAGCAACTGGCACAGCTTGAACTTGGTGGTTCATTATGTGGTTATTGATCCTTTGAATAATGACTTCCTGTCAGATATGCCTTTTTATCATGACAGATAGGTCGGTCATATCTAAGAGGGACTACTGTACTCTAATAATGTTATAATATTCCTTCTAATGGAACCTAATGATAGATCAGCCAGCTTACTTTGAAATTCAAATGTAATACTTTCTCAGGTACTTGCTGCTAAATTAAACAAGAATCTCTAAAAGTATAATAATGTTTGTTTGTTTTTTGAGAGGTTACTGCTGTAACTACCAAAATAACCTTTGAGTCAGTCATAGAAAAGCCAGACAGCTTTATTATAATTTTCCCTCTATTTGAGCCAGTGCAGAATTAGCCAGGCTACTTTTTCGTTAATGTTGCCTCTACTTGAGTCAGAGCTGGACTAGCCAGGTTGTTTTAAAATAATGTTACTTCTGTTCAAGTCAGTGTTGAACTAGCCAGCTAGTATTATAATAATGTTGTCTCTATTTGAATTAGTGCTGGACTAGCTAGTCAGCTTTATAATGATGTTTTCTCTACTTGAGTCAGTGCTGGACTAGCCAGGCAGCTTTATAATAATGCTCCCTCTATTTGAGTAGTGCTAGACTAGCAAGGTTGTTTTATAATAATGTTCCCTTTATTTGAGTCAGTGCTGGACTAGCAAGGTTGTTTCACAATGGGAGCCCTTTTAAACAATTTTCCGTGCAAGTTGATGTGTTACGTTCAACATTTAATTAATCACCTTTTCTATCAATGATGTGAATGAAATTAATATTACAATGTATGTTATGAATCGAAGTTTTATTTTATTCAAGTTTTAAGACCTTATTTGAAAATAAACCTTTAGAAAAACTACTTAAAACTTCAGATGTATTGTCACGTGATCAGTGAGCTATGAAAATTCTATACTTTAGCTCTCTGTATTTTCAGTAATACAATGGTAGGTGAGAAGAGGTACATCAAGACAATAAGATGCTTACATAACCTTTTGATTTATTTATTTAAAAGTTCTCTGAATGAATACAGTTGAAACAAGTAATAAATTTTTTCAACCACCTTCAACAGATTTGTTTGAGCTTTTTAGCCTGCATGTAGATGCTAAATACATGTGTATATTCATTAGATAAAGATCATTTTACTCTATAATCTAGCAACAGTTATTTTGAAATTGGTGCATAGCTTTCGTCATGGGGTATGTGTAACAGCCTATAGTATTATTGGCTGCTTGATCAACTATAGTACTTATAGTTATTTCTTACCAAAATATGTTAGTTAGAGATACAGTTTAAATTGTATTTAGGTCTTACTATATTCAAGTTAATTATATATTAGTTATGTTCTAAAATGCATAATTAAAAGGTTTAAACATTTTAAAAATATACATCATACTTTGCGTCCATTCTCAAAGCTTATGATATTACACACTGAATGAAAATTTTGCCACAGGTTTACACATCTCCTAGAGAAACTGTAATATGCCTTGAGGGCACTGTTGACTTGTGTCAAGATGAATAATAAGTGGTAAAGGACAAGAAAGGAAAAAAAACATTAAAAATTAACTATATGTGAAAAGGACAAGACCTAAAATTATGAATTTAACAAAAGGAAAATCTTTAAAGATATTCTACAAAAAATTAAAAGGCATATATTTTTTTTTTCTATTTCCTAATTTTAATTATTTCATTGCATTGTACATTGATGATAATAGCTAGAGTTAGTGATATGGTAGAGAAAATGAACAATAAAATATAAACATTTATCTTGAAAAAACTTTTGATATCTTTTTAGGAGGTTCTAGAGATTATGCAAAGGAAATATAAAAAATATAAGATGGAGAAAAGTATTTTTATACTTAAAATAAAAAATTACCTTCCACTTGATTTGTTAATAGTTTGAATGCAAGTAACTAGAACACAAAAATACTATTTTTAGTAAAAACTTAATTATAATAACATCATTCTTGGTGTACAAGATACTTATTGATCTTTAGCAAAATGTTACCAGTTTTTGAATGGGTACATTAAGAAATTTCAGAATTACCACTTGTATTGTCATACAAGTGAAATTTGCAACTTGATTTCTGCAAACTGCATGAGCCTGCTGCAAAATGGTTAAAATGTTGCACATATCTGAGTCAGTGCTGGAGCGGCCAGCAAGAATTATAATGATTTTTGTTGTTTTTTACTTGAGTCTGTGCTGAACTAGTCAGGCAGCTTTATAATAATGTTTTCTCTATTTGAATCAATGCTGAAATAGTCAGGCAGCTTTATAATAATGTTTTCTCTATTTGAATCAATGCTGAAATAGTCAGGCAGCTTTATAATAATGTTTTCTCTATTTGAATCAATGCTGAACTAGCCAGCCAGCATTATAATAATATTCCTTCTATTTGAGTCAGTTTTGAACTAATCAGGCTGCCTTATTAGAATGATCCCTTTATTTGAGTTAGTGCTAGACTAGTCAGGTTGTTTTATGATAATGTTGCCTCTGTTTGAGTCAATGATGGGCTAGCCAGTCAGCTTTATAATGATGGTTTTTCTACTTTAGTCAATGCTGGACTAGCCAGCTAGCTTTATAGTGACATTCCCTCTATTTGAGTCAGTGTTGAAATAACCAGGCAGCTTAATAATGATGTTCCTTATTTGGTCGGTGTTAATCTAGTCAGGTAGCTTTACAACAATGTTCCCTCTACTTAAGTCAGTGCTGAACAAGATGGGTTTAATAGAGTATTAATTCTCCCATGCTGGTATTGTTTAATAGGACAACTAATTAAATCCAGTAATGTAGTAATGGCTGCTCCTGTATATGGTAAGTAAACATTCAATAAAGTTTGAGCAGTAAGGTGAAATTCTAAATACTTTTATATAGATAAAGATGACATTAACATAATGTAGTAGAGCTTTATTTTTTTATAAGTAAAATTGAATAAAGTTCACAAACATAAACTTATTAGTACTGTTTTTTTCCAAGTTGGGGTATGTGTTTAGAATGTGCCACTATAATTAAGTTGGTTAAACAAGGAGTGGGAAATCTTTTGATTTTCTGTAAGAACAGAACATAAGTTCACGTTGTTCAGTCAAATTGTTGCTGATTTCTTTAGAGAAAGCTTGATAAATTCTTAAAACTGGAAATTGTTTCTCTACAGTTAGGAAATGCTACAAAGTATGACTATAAAAGAAAAATCTTGGAAAGTTGCTATACTTTATTGGTTGAACTTACAAGATGTACAGTTTATTACCCTAAACTGTGAAGTTTTGCTTTAGCTGTAGATTTAGTCTTATATTTTTTCTTGTTTTGAATAAATATCATTTAAGTTTCTTATATAGTATTAGCATCAGTGTTCTCTTGAATTATTTATTATTAATTATTGTTTGGCATAGTGTTGATTTTATACTACTATAATGATTTTGTTTTTTTTACTTAGCCAATTTTTGTTTTTGTTTTTCATCATTTAATTCAGTACACAGCATCATATCTTTTAAGTACTTTCTTTTCTTCAAATGATTTTGAGACCTAAAACCAGACCAGTATTTAAAAAAAAAATCCCCAAATTAGAAAATACTTACTTATTGGTTCTTTATCTCACTTTAATGCTAGAGTTTCATTTGATTATTGAAACAATTCATGGAATGTGTACTTGCAGGTGAAAGTAGCATGTTAAACTTCTCTTTTTTATGTAAAGGGTGGGCCATAGCAATATAGATACTAAGAAAACTAATTCTGTTGTTTTTCATGAGAAAACTTCAAACATTTGTAATGTTAAACCGATTCAGTGATTGTATAGCTTTGGTTTGTTACTTATAGTTTTATATTTCTTTATTCACTACGTATTTAAGTACATACCTTGTGGTACATTTACTAACTCTTCAACAGTGGGGGATAAAAAAATTACAACAACATGCATGATCCTGAAAATGTTTGGCATTGTAAAATCTAGTAAGACTGTTTTCTTATACCAAATATGTTTAACTTATTCTATTACTATGATACTTAGATTTTTTTAAGTACAAAATATTCTTGGATACTTTCAAAGGTTTAAAAACTATTAATTCCTTTATGATAAAATTATTTATTTCACTCCTCAGATCATCATCTTGGGTTTACTAATTTTTCTCCCAAAAGGAAATTAAAAAGAGTTTGAATGCATGGACTTAGTTTAGATATAAGATTTATCCATCAATTTCTTTTAATACTGATATTAAGAGGACTAGCTTAAAGTCAAGGATTGCCCTTTTTTGAACCCAGATGGTGAACTGCAGACCTCATCCCGGAGCTCAGATAATGACTCCTCCTATTCATGCAGGGACTGTAACAAAGCATTTAATCGGCAAGGTCAGCCTGTCTGTTTATTTTCTGGTTTTCTTTTATTCTTCTAATTTTTCTTTATTTTTGCTTTATTTACATTTCTGAACATGTATGGGAACATGTTACACTATATACATTTTAGTATATCCAACTTATTTATTAGATAACTGTGATTTATTAGGCTCGTTATAATTTTATATAGAAATTTAAGTTTGAAAAGAAAATATAAATATATTAATATCTAATCTAAAGAGGATTTAAACATTTCTAAAATAGTTTTTAACTTATAGAAAACTTGCTGATTAATATTTAAGGTACAGATACTCTAAACTTACTGAGGAAGATTATGTCATATAATCTTTCTACGTGGAATAATAAATCAATATAAAACCAGAAATACAGTGTTGTTCATGTATAGTTTTTTTAGGCTGTTTTGTCATTTAAAATTTTTAAGTTATTCTTCTACTACCCCTGCTTGGCAAATTGCATGTCTTTTCTACCTACAATTTACAAAACTTACTAGAACAAAAACAATCTGTGATTGGGAATACACATCTTTCACACTTAAAGAGTGGATAAATTATTTTCTGAATTGCATTTGCATTTTTAAACTATGTTCTTCATCTTAATACATCAAATTCTGGGAGTGTGTAACTTTTCGACTGACATAAAAGGTTTAATATTGCTTTCAAAATTCAGTAAGAATTTCTAAATGCATTTCCTATTTTTTGTAGCATATTAAATAGAATGTAAATAAAGCATAAGAGCAGTATGGCTAGAAACTGGTATTTACTTTTCATTGGAATCTCACTTTCTTGTAGTTATATAAAAATAGCCTTTCTGCTTACATTGTTATTTTGTTATGTTGTGATTGGAGAACAGGAAATTTTGGTCCACAAACTTTCAGTTAGTTTTCAGTTAGTCTAAAGTAAGTGTAAACAATTCTGTGGTTGTTTGATATTAAGACATAAAATGTTTTTTTATCTCTTCTTGTTATTTAGTAAACATGAAAAAACAGAACAGCTTAGTAATTTTAGTTGTGTAACTTATTTCAGTGCAGAAATACAAGTTTAGTGCCTGACTGACTGTAACAAGTCACATGATACCATGCAACCAGTATGGGATATTTTAGTAGTGAGATGACTGTTCTAATTGTAAAACAACTATGGAAGTGTTATTTTAACCAGTAGAAATGTAAAATTTATTGAGTTATCCCTAGTAAAACCTTTAAGATTTAGGATGAACGGTAAAATAAAATAAGATCTTATGAATAAACACCTGTTTTTATTTCTGGAAATATAATAAATATACCTTAAACATAATACATTGTGCAGGTAATTGTGTGTGTATTTTCATGAACAAAAGGTTATAGAAAAATTATATATACATATATATATATTAGTTTACAAATGTACAAGTGATATTTATCATATCTCTTGCCAATAGATCAAGCTGCTTGAGTTAAATTTCACTTTGTTGGTCCTACTTACTCAGTTGATAGTCTCTGATTATTTGTTACATATATGTATCTATTTATTAAGGAAATGTAGTTTAAATCCAGTTTACAGTGCAACTAGTTAAAGTAATTTTTATTTGTTAATTATTTTTTTCAAGAACTGAATTTTGTTGATTTTAATGGACTGTATAAATTTCTTGATGACATAATGTATTTTCAGAACGGCTGACAGCACATATAGCTACACACAGACCTCATCGATGTGGGTTTAGTAGTTGTGGGAAGGTAAGTTTTCATAATTAATAGTTGATTTACTGTTTGAAGCTTATTCTTTGTGGGTTTCATGATAAAACTAATCTTCTTGTGTTTTGTATTAATGTTAGTCTCTGTTGTATAGTTAGTGTAAATACAATTTCAGTCTGTGTCAGTGGTTTAGACTATGTTCAGTTATTGTTATAAAAGGTTGGTTTGGAATCAGTAAGCAATGTTTTTAATATATATCTCACAAAAAAGTTTTAATATTTACTTAATGAAATTGAAAAAATATTAGATGCAAAGGTTATGTGCCATTAAAAGATTTGACTTTGAATATAGAGCAATGATGTGTGTAAAATAATTTCAGATAGAGCAGAAGCTGGTTAAGTAAATGTTGATGTCAAAATCATAGCCAATGATAAAATTCTAGACCAGGGGTGGCCAAACCCTGGCCTGTGATGTCTTTTTCTGCGGCCCGCCTAACATTTATAAAATTCACTGTATTACGGCCCACGCATGATACTTAGACAACGAGGAGGCCATAACTCACTCTTTCATTCCATCGGGCTTCGGCTGAGGCAATTTGAGGCATTCTTTCATTGTCGTCTCGGCGACCTTAGCGACAGCGGTCTGATTGGTGGAACGATTAAAATTCAAACTGAGAGCAAGAAGCTCGTTGTAAATGAGTCTATGTCGATAATCTGACAGAATTGGGTGAACATAAGATTCCTTGACTGAATGTGGACTGATTCTGCTGATCGAAGTGTCAAATGAAAGGTCCCTTCATTCTCTATTCACTGATGTAAAAATTATTATCCAAACGTCTTTTCCACCAGAGATAACTTGATTGACAAAAAATGATGAAATTTTTGTTTTTGGTTTCTAGAGAACACCTAATGGTGCAATATCAAAAGTAAAGTACATCATATAAAAGCCAAGAAAGAGCTGTATCAGAGCATTGAAAAATACTAAGCTCAGGGTGGCCACTTTTTTTACCAGCACTGTATTTTGAAGTTGAATGCGGCCCGGGTTGACTCCGGTAATCAAAATCTGGCCCGTGGCACAAAAAAGTTGGCTACCCCTGTTCTAGACCCTTTAAAACAGACGATTTTAACTAAATTATAAGGTGGTGTTCTATATTGAAGTGAGAAATCTTTATCAGTAGAGTTATTTCAGGTTTTTAATAAACATTTTATATTGTAATTATAGACAAATAATTTACTGAAGGTTATCTGAGCTATCTGAACAACATGTAATAGAGGTGGTATTAATTTTGTCAGCTTGATTTTCATCGTATGGTACTAATAAAGAGAAAAACTGAGTTTACAAGCTTTTGTAAGGCTAGTTCTCGAATCACTATCACATGAAATGATTGTCTGAATTACACTGTTGTGGTGTATCAAATAATTGCAGTCAACTGACGAGAATCATAATTTGGAAATTAAAATCACTATAAAAGAATAAAAGTGTTGGAACAATAGTAAAAAAAAATCACTAAATTTATTATCTTTTTATAAAATCAACAGTAATAAAATGGCTGTGTAAGTTACTGAAATTTTTGTGTTATTGATATACGGAAAGTCTGCAAGATTTTATCCCTTGCCTAAGTGTGTAATTAATTAAGGTTATATAGATTTGTGTTTTTTTGGATCCCAGGAGTTCAAGCTCAAAGCTCACCTAGCGCGACATTGTGCCTCTGTCCATGATTCTGCTATTAGAGTTGGCAGTCCAAGACCTATAATAAAAACACGTGTAGCATTCTACCTGTGTACCACACCACTGACACGACTTGCTCGCCGAGTTTGTGCTTATCTCTTACAACCACACAGTGCTGCCAGAAACCCTTTCAAAACAATCAACGTAGTGGCCGTGAAACAAGAATGTAAGCATGGACTTGCTTATTGCTGAACTTCTCTGTACTTGCAAGAACTTAAGTGTTTAATTTTGTAAAATGTGCTTTATTAGTAGTGATTATGATAGTACTTATAAACAAAAGTAAAACTGATCTTACTAACATTCAAAGTTGTCTTATTTTTAGTTATTAAATCTTTCCTGATCAGTCTAATGAACAGATGTTTTTTACTACAATGTCTTCCTCCCAGGTGTCCTTCAGTTGTTCATTACAATAAATTATTTTTGGAATGACTGTGTAAAACAATGTTGTGATTACATTTTTACACAGCCAACTTTAAGTATAAAAAATAAAATTATAAGTTCTAAGCTTAATATGAAACTTCACACCCAACAAGACGTGACTTCTAGTTAGTTTTAAACTCTGTGTGTTGTATATACTTACACAAACACACATATACACATTTGGAGATTTGAATTGAAAATTATGACACCAAAAGTTTATTCCAAATTTCATAAATTTTTCCCTTCCAACTAGGTCAAAATAAGTTGCTTGAAGGATTACCAAAAATACCAAAACCTAAACCTCGAAATCGAGGATCCATTCTTGATATTTCTCATCGTTTGGGAGCCCCCAACATACCAACACCTGAGTGGCTGATAGCTTTACCTAAAGATAAACTTCCTCAACCTGAACGTCTGGCTTTCATTCCACCCCCACGTGGAAAAGGTAAGGTAAAGCTTGCGTACAATAAAGTGGAATGTCTTATAAAGTGATATAAGCAGGAAACTCATTATTGTGGAAGAGTAGAAAATAATAAAATTTATTGTCTATATAGAGTAATACTTATATAGATGTCTTATTTTTTCACTTGATAATGATATTTAAAAAATTGTAATTAGTTTTAATGGATACATTGTTTGACTGTACATTGGTTTGTTTGATTGTTTTAAAATTTTCATTAATTTATCATAGATAGCATAATATAAAATATATTATAGGTTCTAAGAAGTTATGAATAACAGGCAGAGATACTCGAAAGACTAACTAATTAGCAAGTTTAATTTAAAATAATAATAACACTAAAAGCTTGATTTTAAGTGAAGATTACAAAAAAATGTTAAATTCTATTAATAGTAACATATTTTGTTGTGTGCATATGTTAATTTAATTTGATATTTTTTTAAAGTATATAATTCAAGCAATGTTATGCGGGTTCAACAAATAGTGATATCTCAATATAAGAAAAATGGGTTGAAATTTTATATTTTAACTTGTAAATGTATGGGTTTCTAATTAGTTGAACTATCTGAAAAAAATCCTAGAAATGAGAAGTCAGAGTGTCGTGTGTCTCGGAGAAGTGCAGATTAAGAATTTATTTAAATCATTCCTTTTGATTTTAAAACTTAGTTAATAATTCAGATGTTTATATTATCTATGTTTTGATGCCAAGTTTAATAACATAAACTGATTGTAAAGTACTTCGATTAAAATTTGAATGTAATTCTGTGGAAAAAGAATAGTTGTAACATGTACACTTTGATCCCCACATGGCATAAGGTTAAATAACTATCATTTAAGTTAGTAACCAAACCTTTATCTAGTATTCCTGTTATTGAAAGTATGTTCTTTTTTATTTTTTGTAACAGTGTATAAACATGAATTTTGTATTATAAAAAGGGAGTAATTGAGAAAACATTTGTAAAGAGCATTAGTAGAGTGTAGATATATTTTTACAATATTTTTTTTTTCAGGTGGTCAGCTTTTGATCCCTTGGCCACCTTATAAAGAAGAATGCAGGTCTGTTGGTATCAATAGTGTCTTGCCAACAATTCTAAGGAAACGTGGGTATGAACAACAAAATGGAGTAGATGGTAAGATCTTACTTTTGTATTATATACATGTTTTTGTAAATAACTTTATAACATAGTACTATTTGCATATTAAAATTAGTTTTCATGTGTAGAAATCATAGCTTCAAATTAACACGTATTGTCTAATATTTAATAGAAACTTTTCTTTTGCTTCTTACAACACTCAATGTAAAAAATTGAACAAAGAACTGGCTGAAATCCTCATTTTCTTTGTACTAATTATCAAGATTAATTGCAGTGATGATGGTATTTTTGTTGAGTGTGTTATTAGTACCTACAAATAGTTCCTAAAGCTAGTGGAATCCATTACTAATACTAGGGTTAAGCCATTGTTTGTTTGGTCAGCAGAAACCAGAAACAGTGAATTGTATTACTGTTTGTTAAAAGCTCCAGTTATTACAAATAAGAAGCATAGTTTGAAGTATCATTTATTCACCACAAATAATATACATTAATACTAGTTCTTTGTGGTAATTAAAGGACGATTCAAACACCACACATTCATACAGATTGCAGTTCACCACTACACAAGGTGTGGTCTTGTTCTTTGGCTTATCCTTATTCATGGTGGAATACATTTAACCCATTTTATCTTCGTAATGTGGCTTCTCTCTCTTTATATATATATATATATACCTAAAACTAATGATTTTGATTATGGACTAAGAAAATGAAATTGAACAAGTATTTGATATAAAACCTGTGCCAATCTTCCCAGGGCCTGCTGCTAAACACAGAGCAGTTGTAGATTCCTCAGCAGATGTTTACAAAATGGCTGATTTACCCCGAGGAACAATTATAACTCGTCTAAATGGACGAGCTAAGATGGCTACCATCAGGTTTGGAGGAAGAAAACAGACAATAAGTTTAGTTGATGCTCCAGATGATCTCTATTTTGTAGCCACACCATCTACAAGGCAAGTTTCACAAAAGATTGTTCATTTTTGAGTGAGTAATAAAGAACATGCAATTCAATGTTTTATAAAACTAAATGCACAGTTTCTAAACTAGGTTTACTTATACCATCTGTCTTAGCCAGTAGATTTACAACTGAATGAAGCTCTTCGTTACTGGATAAGGATCATGCAAGTTAACTTACTTCGTTACACATGTAATTACATAATGTTACTTCTTAATATATTTTTTTTAAAGCATTTAAGATATTCATTCACATAAATATCAGTTTTTCTTATGTTATTTTAAATTTTGATAAATGGATCCATGAAATGCTTTTTTTTTGTAACCAACAGAAAACTCAGAAGACAGGTGGGGATGAATGAAGTACGTCGTGCTGCTAGACGACCAAGTAGAAAATTATATGGAAAAATTCCACAGTATGGAATCCCATCTCATCGACAAATTATTGTGCAGGAATAATCCTGCAGTTAGAAAATGTGGAGGTAAAGCTGTAGTGAATGACAAAGCAAACAAGCTAATGTTGCCTGCTTGTTGATAATACCCAGAGTTTGTATGATAAGAATACTTTGGAAGTTATGGACATTCCGTGCATATGAGCAATCTTTCAGTAAGTTGCAAGGGAAAGAATAGAAAAACAAGTGGGGTAGGTGAATGAATATAAACAGTGGTGTTATCATAGTTCCATCATAAAGGAAAAACTGGCATTGCTCTGGTTTTGAATCTGCTCAGATAGACAATAAATCTAATGAAGAGTGTTAACAAGTTTTGATGACGTGATGAAGATTGTGTTGATTACATCTTGTCTCTCAGAGAAACTCAAATAGTCTTCAGTAAATAGAAGTTTAGAAAATGTTTCTTTCATAATGCACAGTATTCAGTGAAAGATATCCTCTGTAAAGACTAAAACCCCATCTTTGGAACCATTAAATCATCTTCATTGGAAGAAACTAGTATTTTCTGTTGAATACATGGGGATTTTTTTTTCATGTCAGTGCCAGGTGGGTCCAGTATTTATAAAAATACCATTACAGTGTGTTGGAGCATGGGTAAACCTGTTGGTTTGTAATATCTGTTACTGTATTTGAATTAAATCAAATTTTTCTTTTCCTAACATGTAAATGTCACCATACGTGTAGTGTTGATTTGTACCTGATAAATTTGAAGAAGATTTTCCACCTTTTTATCTCTGTTCGTTCTAAGAAAAGGATGGTTTAGAATCTTTATGGTAGTATTGAACTTGAAACTATTCTTTACTGGACTGTACTATATTGAGATGTAATTGAAATCATTATAATTACAGAACATAAATATTTCAAAACTATAACTTCCATCCACTAGTGAAAAACTGGCATCACAAGAAATGTGTTCATTTGTTTTTGTATGTATTATGTTGTGCATATTTCATTTGTAATACACTTAAAATGACTGGTTTTATACAAGACCTACCAGTTCTTAAAGTTTTAATTGTAACATTAGTGAATAAGAAATATCTTTTAAATTATTTCCCTGATTTGGTAACCAGGAAACCTGGGTATGATATTGGTAAGGAAGTTTCACACATATTTTTCTTTCCTTGTGTGTTAATTATAAATCCTTCACTTATATTAATAGTTAATGTACTTTTCAATGATAAAATTTAAAAAAAATGTAATTTTATGTATTTATTTTCAATGCATGCTTTCATTAATACTGTTTTTAAGCCTTAGATTTCTGTACTGGGGGTATATTTTAAACTCATTTTAACTATGCCATGCTTAAAATTCTTTTCACAATTGTTAACAATTTCTTGGCTGTATTACATGATTTATCTTTTTTTTTCCTTATATAAATTACATCCATGGTCAGCATTTAGTAAAGATTAAGCTGATTCTGGTCAGGGCTGTTTACTTTCAGAAAACCCTATGTAAACTGATTTACAGCTGTGTATAACTTACAAAAATGTTATATGATATCCGATTACTTGTCCATTTAGGAGTCTACCTGGTCTGCTATTGCCCTCTTGTTTGAATTTTGTCTATCATTCCTGTTTAAAGGAATGAAAAACTGAACCAATCAAAAGGCATAGCACCAAAGTTGCTAATAAGTAATTATTTTTCGTTTTGTGGCATTTAATTTACCTGATGTTTTAGTATCCTTTATAAATGATGTATGCTCTTTATGACAGGGTTGTTTTTTTAGGTTCATGTATTGCACAAAATTTAACGTTACCATCAAAAGGGTTATTTCCTTGTCCAGTTTCTACTGAGGGGATTTATGGTAGGCACTTGTCAAGTATTTATTTTGTCAATTTGTATAAGGCTTTTGCAGGATGTCTCTGATAATAAAAATGATTCAACATTCAAACATGTTGTTCAGTGCAGACACCATCATTAAAGGAAATTGATATATATATATAAACAAAAAATTAAACTGAATCATAACATTCAAACACATATCTAAATATCTGACAACCAACATTTTTAAAGCACTGCTGTACTTAACTGGAGGGGGTGTCATAGATGTTCCTGGACTTTTTTCTTTTAAAATGGACATATTTAACCATATTGCATGAAAATAATATAAACTTACTGGATAGTGTCTAATTTTGACTTTAAAAATATTCATTTAACTTGGTTTAGTTTGACTGTTATTTTTTGCATCTCAGTTTCCATAATTTTTTGTAGACACAGTTTTGTAAAAACATCAAGAAAATACTTCCTTTTGTCTTAGAATTTCTAATTTCTTTTATGCTGATGTTAAAAAAATTCCATTTTACACATCCAGTTAATTTCACCTTCATATATATTCGTAAACATATTTCATTTGATACTTTATTTTGCAAACTGTTATACCACTTTTCATTATAAGCTGTGAAAAAAAAACACTTCAGAAGCTGACAAAAATTTATTGGTGACCTATGACCTGACTTTTTGATATGCTGTCAGGTCAGAAAAAGTAATATTTGTGTTCAATAGCAATTTATATCTAATAAAGTTTCTTTTAAATAAATTATAAGTACTTTTATTTATGTACATTGTTTGAGTATGATAAAAGTAACAGTAATGCTTAATAAATAAGGATTTGAGTTACCAGAAGTTGGTTGTAGTATTCAAAAACATACAATTTAATACAAACATTTTCAGGAATGAAAATAACTTCCCAATATTGTGGCTTGTTCCTAAGTCTTTCAAACTTTCCATTGTTCTCTGCAGGAACTACATCTAATCACTTTCCCACATGTGTTATTTACTCTGCATTAATGTAAGTACTCTATAACCTGCTCTATCTAATGATATTTAAATCTTGCCTTTAACTGTTTTAAAAGCTTAGTTTCATCAGTACTTGTTGAGACCATGTACTGGGAATGGGAGGTTTGATTTTGAGAGGCTGTAATAATAAAATCCCTGAAAGAGAATGAAAATCAGTTTCATATGAATATAATTATATTCTCAAGGAATGATTGTTTCTTAGTAAATATAAGGCTATACTTTTGGGATAGTCAAAAATAAATTATAAAAACGATGTTTTAAGTTCTTTGTTCACAGGCAAGAGTCCTGGCAGCTGTACTGAAATGTAAGTATGTAAATTTTTTTTTTTTTTTTGGTCAAAGTACACTAAATAAATGACAAAATATTAATTCTAAATATTTTTTAGATACATATTGTTGAAATAGAGAGAGAATTATTATATTTACTTTAATTTTGATATGCAGGTGTTCACTCTAGCTGAAAGGTGCTCTCAGCTACTGATAAGATTATGTATTTTGGACATTAATATATGTGTGTATATATATATATATATATATATTGGATTTAGACTAAGATATCACTGACAATCATGGTTATTATAACAAAACTACTCAGCTTATACAGGGTGTTTATAAAGTCCCTATCTATTTCAGTGAAATAATGGGTTTTATTGATTGTATTGCAGAACCCCATGAAGATGAATGTGCAAGAATGTGTGATGGTGGTAATTGCATATTCAAGGAAAGAAATTAGAGAGAAGTTTGAAAGAAAATTTCATAAGCCAGGTCCTACTGACAAGACAATAATACGAATTGTTGAATAAATTCAAAAGAACGGGATCTGTTAATTATGAACCAAGATCTGGTTGACCATGTGTCTTGGAGCATGCTGTAAATGCAGTATGAAAGGCTATCACGGAAGAACCATGCATGTCAATTCATGCCGCTTCACCAAGACTCAGGCAGGCTGCCTAATTTAATGGTCTACAAAATTTTGACATCACATTTGCATAAGAAAAGTTATCACCTTCAGGTATTACATGATTTGTATGAAAAAAGACTATCCACAGCGAAGTGCAAAATGTGCTGATCTCATTGAATGCATTCAGAATGAAAATTTAATGGACCACATTCTTATTAGTAGTGAAGCATTTTTGCATACGTGTAGAAAGGTTAATCACCATAACTGTCACATATGGGCTAAAGTTATGTCTGGTTGGGTTTGACTAAATCTAAGATGTATGGACCCTTTTTTTCTGCTGAAGCTACAGTTACATGGGCTATTTATCTGGACATGTTGCAGCAGTTCCTAGAACCCCAGTTGGTTGGGGATGGGATATTATAGTGACAAGATGCACCATCTTGCTGAAAGATGATGGTGTTTGCAAACATTGTTCGGGAGTACCTGAATGAACGATTTTCAGATTGGCGGATCGGCTGTGGAAGCAACAGGCCCTGGGCGGCTCAATCGCCAGATCTAACACCCTTGGATTTCTTAGCATGGGGCTTTATCAAATCAGACGTCTATCAAACGAAGGTTAAAGATCTGCAAAACTTACGTACACACATCGTAATGGCTGTTCACAAAACAACCCCTGAAATTCTCCAGAATGTGTTCAGAAATGCTGTGGAAAGATTTGAGCTTTGTAGAGATATTGATGGTGCACATGTAGAACCTTATTCTTAAGTATTCAATAAATGTATATCTTCTATCATTTTATAATTGAATTTAACACAGTGACCCATTATTTCTCTGAAATAGATAGAGACTTTATAAACACCCTGTATAATAATACATCAAAAAAAGAGTAATTTGGTGGTTTGAATTTCCTTTTCTGTAAGTCTTTATAATCTGTGACCTCAATTTTAATATGCTAATCAGTAATTATAGTTAATTTAGCATGTAAATTATACTGTGACTAACCAAATGTTTTTTTAATTCTGGATTCTAGAACCATAAAGATTTTAAAATTATGGTGTTACACATCAGCATGTCAAAAACAGGTGATTGTCAAAAAACTTTACCATTATTTAGCAACACAGCTGTAAATCATTTTAAAATAGTGCATGTAATTATATCATTCTGCTTGTTATTAAGACTTGTTTGTTTTAGTGCAAATTATGCAATGAAAGTTTTAGTATTTTTATTTCTAGGAAATGTAAAAACTGCAGGCCAGGAATTTTTACATAATTTATATTTACTTGATTTCTTATGGTAAAAGTAATGTAATTTTTATTCTAAGCCTAAAATGTGGTAAATAATCAAGTCAGGGTTGATCCATAGAAGTGTTAATCCTTATAAGTTCTAGTAGTATGTTCTTTAAACCAAATATAACAAACAGTCACCAGTATCACAGTTCTGTATCATAAGTAAGTACTAAGAAAAGTTCTTGGTCCATAAAGGTTTAGGGTAATAATGTGTAGTATGTATCTCACCAATTTCAAATACAGTGCAAAGTCTTTTAAAGAAAAACAGAACATAAATAACCATGTCTAGCTAAACAATGTTTTATGAATGAACAATGATTCTTTCATATTTTCATAAATAATATATATTATTCAATGGCATTCCTTATTAAACCTTAACACAGATTAACTGTGGTCACTAAGTTCTATGAACTTATGGGTGAAAGCAAAGAAGAATGTGTAAAGTTGAAAATATCAACTTACCAGTTGTAGTTTTGCTGTGAAGCTCAGAGAAAACAGTAAATGGAATTAACCCTATAGCAACGACACAATTTTTAAACCCCTTCTGTGCATGTTACTTAGTGACATTCAAAATATAGTTAAACCACTATACTATAAATGTATTTTAATGAAATTATTATTATGAAGTATTTTATAGTTTTATATGATATTTTAATTTAAAAAGAAACATCTAAAACAGCAATTAAAACTGCAGTTTTTTTTCTGTCATATGATTCACTCATGGTTATAATTCTCAACTTTTAAGAGCACTTATACAAGAAACTACGAGTAGTTAATATAGACTGTTAGTTCAAATGGTCAAAATATAGTAAACAGATGTATTTTATTACCATCTGGAAACTTTCCAAGAATTTCGTCCTACATGAAATGTAAATTGTTTCTAAGTTTAAGGTCAGCCACACCCACTTGTAAAGTTGAAGCTGTGTTGCTAAGCGAAAGTTTGAAATTGAAAGGCATGCTTATAACTAATAGAAAGAGCAGATTTCCAGCTATTTACTTAATAGCCAAAGAAACATTACCAATATATGGATTGGTACTATGAAATAGAAAAGAAGCTTAGTCCATTGTTCTCTTGAGGTGTACATAGCACTTGGCAAGTGTTTCTCACCTTGTATGTATTACTTTGCTAGACAGTTAGATTACATTAAGGTTTTACATTTATATCTTAGTTAATTATATATTATTTGTGTTTTAAAATTCATAGTTGAAAGGTTTAATGATTTTTATACATTTAACTTGTAGCTTGAATTTTGAAAGTGTATAAACAAGATGGCATCATTCGTGTGTGCAAGTGAAAGAGTCTGTGCACGGGAGTATCTCTATAATAATGATAAAGCCCCTTGGGTATTAATTGATCTACTGGCATCAGTAATAAAAGACAAACAATTGGAAAGGAAAATTTAAAATATACTGTAAGATAGACATGAAATTATGCATATTAAAAAAATATATTTCAAAAGACTTCTACGTAGAATTAAAAGGTATGTAAAGATTTCCATTTCTTAATTTTAAACATTTCTTTGAACTGTACGTTGAGGATAATAATTAGTTAGTGATATAGTAGAGAAAATTGAAAATATAATATAAACATTTACCTTTAAAAACTTTTGATATTCTTTTAAGAGGTTCTAGAAATTATGCAAATAAAATGTGAAATATGTAAGATAATAAATAGTATTTTTATACTAAAAATGAAAATCACCTTGCATGTGAACTATTCAGAGGTCGAGTACAAATAACTATATTAAATTATTTTTTATTAGAAATAGTAAAAAAATAAATTAAATATTTACATGACAGTGTACACTTTTAGGAATGTTTATGTCAAATTTCAAACAATTTCAACCACTGGTTCCATTTTTGTTAAGAACTTTCACAGGATTTACTTAACCTACTTTCAACGTAAGTAGATCATCTTCATCGGGTTAAAGCTTGTTGGAACAGTCTGATACCATACTGGATAGCACCTTCCTCTTTAATAAAAAAAACCACTAAGGGATGGTGTCATTTGTTCTACACTGGACCTTTAAGTTGAAAAAACAACCTAGTTATATCAGAAGGCCTAGTTAATGATGGTTTGTTTATTTTTATTAAAATCATGAAGGTTATGTTTATTATAATTCACATTTCATCTTTATTTCACATTTTTCAGGTTGTTCATATTCTGCCATGGTTATGCATAAACCATTACAATGAAATTTAGTTTGGACATTGTGCCTGTTTGATAAGATTGGGTCAAGTTTGTTCTCACATTGGTGAATTGTAATTTATGGTTGAGGTTGCTGTGAAGATGATATTGTCTGCAACATATACCTACATTCCCTACCAGAGGCTAGCTTGCCTTATCAGGAATAAGTGATTTAGATTTTACATTGCCTAGTCATAAATGAAAACCAATTTACAAAAATATTGCTTGCATGTAGCCATCAACAGAGAAGATATTCTCATGATATTGCACAATGGTTCTGAATTTTAAGTAAGTTCTTCGATCAGAGTTAGTTTCTAAACACAAACTGCAGAATCTTTACAAGTCAATTATCATACCAGGATTTACAACTACCAAAAACAGGATCCAGCCAAAACTCTCACAGCATGAAACTCTGACACATGCTCCATAAGACGTTTTTATCATGAATGCATGGATCTCAAAGTTGTTCAAAAAAGTTGATGTGCTCTGGATGTAATACTCTCTCCAAAAGAAAGCAATTGATGAATTGAAATTATGATATATTTTTTACACAAGTGTTCTGTACACACATCATACAACCTATGTAATTTGAGCTGGTTTGTGTGAAATTCCTTTCATCCTTTATTTGAGAATATTATCATTTCTGACATACGTACTAAGGAAAAATTCAAATTTGTGGTACACATACATTGTACTTTGTTATTACATGAAAGAATAGGTTATGTATATATAACAATATAACTGATCAATTTAGACAATATAAACAGTATAAAAACATAAGGAAGAAAAACAATGTATTCCTGACAAATTGTATTTTATTAATTCATACTTCAAAAAGTAAGCTTACATTGTATGTAATAAAAAAGTCATCTATTTAAAAGTCAATACCAGTACATGTTTCAGAAAAAAACATATATTATCTGTTCATTATTCTCGACTATTCTATGGGAGAGTGCATTGTCTATAAGAAGGGTACAACTGAGAAGCAAGCATTGCATGCTCATAGTGATGAATAAGCTTACAATTTCAATTACCTAAATCGTGAATAAAGGTTCAGTAGCTGTTTGTTGATTGTTTAATCTAGGCTTCATTTGAAGGATTAGAACCATATCCTTCACTCATAGCATAGTCTTGTTTTTGGCTTTACCAATTACTTTGAATATACTTTGGGTTTGGACTACATCACATTCATTTAATGCCTGAACCTAGGATTAGAGTGCTCCTTTAAATGACCTCCCAGTCTTCTAACAGTCGATCCAGCATAAGCACCCCCACATGTTGGGCAACAGAATTCATAAATAACACACGACTGTTGAGAAACGTGGATAGAATCTTTAAACCTACATTCTCAGTAGCAGTCTAAACACAAATTAGAGATAAACTTGTGGATAGACTCTGTTGATTATGGTATAAAGTTTTTTCTTCAAGATTTGTGAGTGTACAGTAGAGAGATCTTTAGCTTCAGGGTGCCATAGTTCAATGACCTGGGTAGATGTAGTTGTTGAAGGTTTTATTGATGGTAGAATCAACAAAGTAGTTTGGAAAGGAGTTAAGTTTTAAAACATTTTAAACTGAGTAACTCACTGTAAATGTTGCAGGGAACTGGTGACATTCCACAAGGTTTTATTTGAAATTAAGTGGAACAAAACTATTCAAGTGGGTGTTTAGTCCAGTGTAGGTTGATTTCTGATGACAACTGACATCAAAACGTCCTTGTTAGTTGAAAACATATGTCTCAAGAAAAGGTAGAGCAGAGCACTGTTGACATGTACCAGTGTATTTAATGTTAACACTTTTAAAATTCAAATATTTTACAAATTCCACTAATTGATCTTCATTTTTGAATATTACAAATATATCATCAACATAATGATGTAGATAAGCAGTTTGAACTTACTAGGATAATTCCTCAGCCAACTATTCTCATGAAAGCACATGAAAACATTAGCCATGTTGAAATGTCAAAATGGATCAGAAAGGGGAATTCCACCTCTTTCAAAATTCCAATTAACTGCTGCCAACACCTGTTTCAACAGTCTGTCTGACAATATACATGAGCTATTTTGTTTTACGATTTTAACCAAAAAGAGGGATAAAAACACCCTAAAATTGGATACATTTTCATGATTTATAGATTTTTGGCTTTGAATTTAAAGTCACAAGTACTTAATCAGTTATATGAGTCAATTATTACCTTCCACAAAGCAGAGTATGCAAATAGCATCTAATGAGGTAATTCAGAATTTGATAGTGAAAGAAAGAAGGAAGGGGAATATTAGCTAAGATTAGCTTTCTTAATTGGTACTATATAAAAGTGA